ATTGCTGCGATCCCAGAAAAAAAGAAATTCAAGCAAACTCGTTATGATAAAATTCAATTTACATTTTATCATTTTTATTGAAACTTATTATTATTCATTTTCATCGAGAAAACATTTCAAAGTGTCGTTTCAATTCTATTTATTTATTGGAGTGTTTGTGGATACACGATACTTTTTGTTTTTTCGTCTGGAGCGTACACGAATAAATCAGAAGGTTTTCCGACACGTGAGCCGGCCACATTCAGTTGTGCGAGAAGCACGGATTCTCCAAATTTAGCTCACACACTGGCANGAGAAAATTGTCATTTTAGAAAATAAATAAATAAATCTAAAGGACAGAGCAGTAGAATAGAGGTCTGTCTTCTTAAATAAAGGACGCATGGTCACCGAAATTATATGTCTATTTGTTTGCTTCATTAGTACTGTATTTAAAGTTTTAGAATAAATTAGATTTCATTTAAAAGATATACACAGTACAGTAAATAAAAGTTTGCTTACTTAGAATCTATGTTGTATTGTGTAATTGCGGCTGTTTTAATTTTAATTATATCATAAATTTTAAAATTTTGAGCCTAATTACGTGAAAATGTTTTTAGATACAGCAATTATTATTATATAAATCATATATTTTAAAATATTATATATTACCTTAAAGAAATAAATAATTTTAACTGATATCTCTAGAAATAATGAAAAATTCATTATATTTAAAATAGGATTAAGCCAGCAGTTTTTGGCCACTTGATTATATTAAGACGTTATTAAGAATTATAAAAAAAATTAAATTTTTTTTTATTATTACTTTATATTCATGTAATGATCAAAAATTGTCATCTATATGACCATTATTGGTGTTTATATAAATTACATGGCCCATAAACTTTGTTTTACCATGATGATTGTCTCACACTGTACAATATAAACTGAATGAACAATGGTTGGTTTAAAATAACATACAATGCAACGTGGAAGGAGAAAATCTGCTAAATGGGACCAAAACTTAGCTTCTAAGTTTCGTTTTAAAATTTTAAAATTATTCAAATGAGATGAACATATCGTGACGAAAAGAAGAATTCCATCAGTTACACTCTATCGAGACGTCACGGATTCATTATGCAAAAATGATCCGGATGCTTTATGGCAGGTGGAAAATCTGGCTAATTATATAGTCGTGAAATTATGTCTAACAATAACACCGGCCTATGCATTAGGCTGAAAACGTTAGTGCATCACAAATAAATGCTTTTCAGCAGCCAAAAGTGTTTGTTGTTGAATGAACGTCTTTATATAAGTCTTTCTTTTGTCAAACTTCGTTCAACTCCATAAAAAATGTTTCAATATCGTAGTTGAACGTGCAAACTTCATTAATACTACTTACTACTATTGAATATAAAATTGCATTATATTCAGAAACATAAAATAATAATTTTGCTATATTGTTTCGAATATTTTATAGGAAAAAAGTCTGATACTATATTAGAAATATTTTCTATTTCTGATGGAAGTTTAATGTGAATCATAAATTTTTAAAAATTTAACATATCATATTTACCATAAAATTTATTCAATGAGTATAATTTGAATTGTATTTTTAATTAATACATTTTTATGTAATTAGTGATATCACCAGATATTTTATTTAAAAGGTATATTTTAATACAAATACAATATTGAGGAACCGTATATTCGAATATTATTTAAAAGTTTGGTTTGATTTTTACTAACCAGATGGCATCGTTTACCTGAAAACTTCATATTCTTTTATCTTCAAATAGCACGTGGTAAAAGTAATTTATTATTACAATGCCATATACTATAATTGAAGTTAGATTTAAACATTTTTGGTTTTATTTAAAGTTTATAAAATTATAAACTACATACATATATATAGACTATATATTTTTTTTTTATTAATTTAAAAATGAATTTAAAATTATAAGCATAATTAATATAATTTTTCGTTAATAAATTGATAATTTTTATTTTTTTATTTGTTTTAAAGTGGCTCTCTTTTAAGAAAATCTAGTAAAAACTAATGCAATATTAATCATTTCATTTGATTAGATCACTTTGATTTTGACTAAATGAATTAATAAATAAATAAATCCTAAACCTTAGAGAATTATAAACGTAATATTTAATCTTTAATTAAAATTTTTTAATAAATCAAGTTTTTTGAATCTTTAAAAATTCATAAAAATGTCAAAGTTCCATTTAGTATAAATGCTTGCTTCCACTGTTTCGATTTTTAATTGAGTTTTTTTTCACTGGTCTGCGTATTGTTAACTAATGAAAATGCTCGTTTAATGGACTCATTAGATTCAGGGAGAAGTAAGCAAAACAACACTTTTTAAATTGTTTTAAAAGATACGTGTTTATCTGTGAAATATTTAAAAATTTCAATCCAACCGCGTTGGCAGGACTTATTTTGTCGACATTCTTATATCTTTTCACTAGATGACATAACTTTTAATACACGAAACTTCGCTCAATACTTCGCTGTCATTTAGGTTATACTTAAGTTATAGCATTAGAACTAAACAAAAGGTTTTCCTCGATCTTCTCCACCCACAGAGGAGTTTCTCGTAGTAAGACCTATTCAAATATTTTTATTTCCACGAAAGAGCTGTCCCAGCTATTTAAATAATCAATTCAGGTTTGGAAAAATTTATAAATTGTGTAAAATACATTTGGTAAATTGAATATTTGGTGCCGTGTGTGGGCGCAAATATTCAATTTACTATTTTAAAGCACAAGATAAAGGAGAAAATTGTCATTTTAGAAAATAAATAAATAAATCTAAAGGACAGAGCAGTAGAATAGAGGTCTGTCTTCTTAAATAAAGGACGCATGGTCACCGAAATTATATGTCTATTTGTTTGCTTCATTAGTACTGTATTTAAAGTTTTAGAATAAATTAGATTTCATTTAAAAGATATACACAGTACAGTAAATAAAAGTTTGCTTACTTAGAATCTATGTTGTATTGTGTAATTGCGGCTGTTTTAATTTTAATTATATCATAAATTTTAAAATTTTGAGCCTAATTACGTGAAAATGTTTTTAGATACAGCAATTATTATTATATAAATCATATATTTTAAAATATTATATATTACCTTAAAGAAATAAATAATTTTAACTGATATCTCCAGAAATAATGAAAAATTCATTATATTTAAAATAGGATTAAGCCAGCAGTTTTTGGCCACTTGATTATATTAAGACGTTATTAAGAATTATAAAAAAAATTAAATTTTTTTTTATTATTACTTTATATTCATGTAATGATCAAAAATTGTCATCTATATGACCATTATTGGTGTTTATATAAATTACATGGCCCATAAACTTTGTTTTACCATGATGATTGTCTCACACTGTACAATATAAACTGAATGAACAATGGTTGGTTTAAAATAACATACAATGCAACGTGGAAGGAGAAAATCTGCTAAATGGGACCAAAACTTAGCTTCTAAGTTTCGTTTTAAAATTTTAAAATTATTCAAATGAGATGAACATATCGTGACGAAAAGAAGAATTCCATCAGTTACACTCTATCGAGACGTCACGGATTCATTATGCAAAAATGATCCGGATGCTTTATGGCAGGTGGAAAATCTGGCTAATTATATAGTCGTGAAATTATGTCTAACAATAACACCTGCTCTATAAAAGTTATAATATCTTTATTATTAATAATATTTCTTTATTTTTAAACATTTATTATTTTTATTTATAGCTATTTACGCTCAATAATTAGAAGAATTAGTCATTTTTCCGATCGTATAATCAAGTATAATTTTAATTAATTCGCCAATTTTTCTTCAAAGAAATGTTATAGTTATTTTAGTATTCAATAGATGGCGCTTTGTTACATTAACACGTGTATGTTTCCAGCGTCAGGTGTGACCTTTGTTGTGTCTGCGAAAGTTCACGTGTTCTTTGTCGTGATAGTTAGGTATTTAACCCAACGTTAGTAGAATGTTCGTGATACTAGTTTAATTATAGATGGAAATTTCAATACTGAACTTCATTCCTTGTCAGTTTATTTACTAAATTTGGTTTTCGTGTATTTTAAAACAAGTATAATATTAATTAAAAATGTAATGTAGTTTGTATTGTATTTTATTCATATTTTGTAGCACGAATCTCATTATTTTTTCAATTATGGAACTACTGTAGATAGTTAAAACACGATTGGAATCCGAGTAGAAAAACTAAAAATTTTTATTCATAAATTTGAAAATTTCATCAGACATGATTTTCCGTGAATTATAATGTTTAAAGATACAAAACAAAAAACTCTTTTAAAACGATGTAAAATCAAAATGTGTTTAACAATATTTAAGTTACTCGGCATCTATTAATTGTAATTCAATAATCATGCAAGTGTAGAGCCTAAGGGCCTTTTTTTTTTTTAGCAAACCTATTATGGGTTCAGCCGGCTAAAAATGGGGCTCGTCGTGTCCGAATGGATCCCCTGAAAAATCCCAAAAATTTTCCTAGTGGTAGGCTGCCACGTTACCACTTGGCTTTCCAATTTTTTTAAAACAAATTACAGTAGTTAATTTATCCATAGAAAAAAAAATTTAGATTCTAAAGATGTATTTCAAATTATGTTGATATCTTGTATCATTATGCTATTGATATCTGTTATTGAATCTCTTAACTAATCAAACACATTATCCTTTCTTAATTTTATATCAAGAAAGTTTTAGACATTAAAAAAATGATATTGTATGAGATTTGAATTCACAAACATTTATATCTACATCTTTATTTCTTTTTAAGGAATATGAGTGATTGTATATTGAGTATTGTTTATTAAAAAATTCATCCTCTCAATTAGTATGCAAATGTATTATAATTGTTATATACTATTTGTTATGATCTTCAACTATAGGCTATTTTTATGTAATTCTAAGAAAATTTGTTACTAAATATAAAAATGACTGAGAAAATGTTATCACAAAAATAAATATAAAATGAACAAGTAGTTGATCTAACAAACTTTATAAACTCTTTGAATGAGGGATATGATCGTCATGATCAAATATCCCTTCTACAAGATTTTTCATATTCACGACAGTAAGGAACAGGAGACTAGCACACCTCACAGAGGTGACTGATCATATAATATACATATAAGCAGCTAATCACAGACATTTTTTTCAGTTGCTCAAAACTATATATTATACAGAACATAACAAATATGGAATTCATAACTACATTTTTTCTACATTCATTTCCACAAAAACACACAACATTTCTTATAAATGCAGTTTTTGTACAGAAATAGTTTCCATGAACAAAAAACAAAAAAAAAGAAACATTCAAATATGAACACGAAACAGATGGATATCAAATAAATTTCTAAATAAAATTTCAAAAGGTAAACTGTCTTAGACTTTTCTACAAACTGATTTGTTTTATCTTGCTACCCGAACTATAAATAATATATGAAAAGTCTAATAAAAAAGTATCACATGATGACAAAATTTTTTCATCTCAATTATAATAATGAAATCAGGCACTTGACTGAAAGAACTCTATGTCGGCAGACAGGACTAGTTACAAAAGCAAATATACATCATTACCATCGTATTTCTAATCGATTGTCCAATTCACTAAATTGTGATAGTGTGGAAGACTAACTACAAAACTTTGTTTTCTATCCAAATAATTACAGATTACTTTATACGTTGACAACTTGATGAGAAATTCTCCTATTTTTGTGTGAACAAAAATTCAATTCTACTGTAATAGCTGACTAAAACTATTTCAAAAATCATTGACATGACTTTAAACACGAATTCCATACACAATAACTACATGGGTAAAACATCATTCTGTTTTCAATATTGAACAACCATAAAATTTCTATTCTTTACAGTTCTAAAATACAATAAGCATAATAACTTAAAACTTCCCAACTAATATAGTTATCAAGACTACATTTTAAATTTCGCAAGTATCACTATTTCCTATTGTGGAATAGCAGATGTGAGCTTAGAATCAGACATAACTTATAGCATATCATTTTCTTAAGTACCATCAATCACATTCTTATGTTAATTTTATGTTGTATCCAATTCTTGCATAACGTCTAACACTGGTAAATTGTGTGCACTAAGTTTTGTTTGCTTCCATGGAAATGAAAGTTGTGTCGTCTCGGAACTACTTTCTGGAAGCTGGTTAACACAACATTGATCTGTGGATAAAAACTGCTGCCACGATGACTTAAATGGCTGACTATTTGGTGATTGAGAATCTAGAGAAAGAGTTAACATCTGTTCCATTAGAGGTGAAGTACCTCTTTTCTGTGTTGAACCAGGATCAAGGAAAGTTGAAGGGGAACTCTTAGCAGCATCTATTGTTGTGAATGAAGAATTTGATAATTCTCTATCATTAATATGTTCAATACATTTTTCTTCTTCTGTTGGTGAGACATCTTCTCTAATTGGTTGAAACTGCCATGTTGGAATATCTCCAGCGCAGAAAAGAGAGAGAGAAGTGACGTCATTTGGGAGAGGAGGTAAAATTGGAGCTTGTTGAGCTAATTTATAGGATGCTTGCCTAGTTATTTTTCTTTTGGAAGAATTAATAGCTGCTCTACTTTGATCTTGGAATAACTGTTGTTGGAATTGTTTACTTTGACTAAGAATCATTTGTCCAAATTCAGAACTTGATTTCTGTGTTTCATCAGTTTCTATTTCATTAATTGTTGAATGATTTACTGGAGAAACAGAAATCATCTGACAAGAAGGAAAATTAGTAGATGTAGCATCATTTTCAGCAAGATACATTGTATGTTGATGTTGCCTTCTATTTTGTTCTTCGGGGGTTACGTTTGTCCTATATAAATTTTGCAATTTTTTATGTTCTTGTTTCAGTTCATTAATTTGCCAATTGCCACGAGCTTTTTCAGTATTTTCAAGCCTATCACTAAATGCTGCTACACCCTGTGCTACTAATCCATCTGATGCTCTTCTTCCTTCACTGAAAGTGTTTGGTGATTTTAGAAACCTCTGAACACCATCCATTGGATCATGTCTACGAGTAGAACGAGTGTAAGTGTTACTTCTAAGTCTGAGAGGAGATTGATTGTTGCGAGGAGATACTGGAACATTTCCTATTACATTACTGGGAGCACAGGATGGTAGACTAGAGGTAATTGCAGACTGTGAAGGCATATCAAATTTTTCTGGTTCTTGAACTGCAGCACTACCAAAAGGAGATTGTGAAAGCCTTAACAGTTCAGTTAGACTGTAAAGTGGTGGACTACTTCTATGGCTTTCTCCAGATTGTTCACCTATGTTCCACTGACCACTATCAACATACATACAAGAAGACCATTGCTGAACTCCTGTAATTTGAGCAACTTCTGTTACTGTTGAAATTGCATTTTCTGAAAATTGAGGTATTTGGGACGGACCAGACAAACTCATGTCATTAAACATTCCTGTTGGTGTAAAAGATGACACTGGTATCTGATGGTTATAATTCTTCTCTGCTTGATTTGTTGCAGAATTCTTGAGAATACCTTGCTTGGGATTAAACTGTAAAGTAAAGAACAATAGTAAGTTACCATATTCACTCTTATGAATATATATAATTATGAAAATACATTATTTTTTTAAATACATTAGTAAAAATTACTATTCATAAGAAAACTGAAAGTAACAAAATTCTATTTGAATACTACAATATTTAATTATAATTATCATAAATTTATGACAACTATTTTATTACTTATTACAATAAACTATGTCATGTTTGTATATGTTCATTACATGCAAAAACTAAAATTCTTCATATGTTAATGTAGCCTATAGATGCTTGAATTTACAATCAAAAGATATTAAAGAAAGGAATATGAGAAAGTTTTCAAAAATCAATCAGTTAGAAAAAGATATTTTTATAGTGATATTTAAGACAATATACACCTGCTTTACAACTGGTTTAAATTTTCTATTATGATTTATCAATACTTAAGTGCTCTATTTTTTGTTAGACATGTTGGTATTATATGTAATTCAAATTGTATTTCCAGAAATTCGACATTGAATCTATATAAAATTACAGGTTAATGTATAATGATATATAATTGTACAAATATGCTAATACAAATATAAGTCTGTTCATACATTATTAAATAGTACTTCTCTCTTAATAGATACTTGAAGAATTTAATACATCATTATTAAAATATTAACATTTTAATTAATTAATTAAGAAATATAAATATGAATAAATTGCTTTAACTTAATTAGAATTTTCAAGATATCTTAAATAAAGAATCTATAACATATATAGTACTTAAAACTAAATTTGATTAGTAAATACACACATCAAATTGAAACCCGATTGTTGTGTGTATTTGCCAGGGTTGCGATGGCTGACTGAGTGCCTTGAGTGAATGTTTCTGGCCAAGGACACGATTGTGTCCCCAGTCGGCATCATAGTAACCGTTGATGGTTATATCTTAACTTATATATACTGGAAGAGAAGATCAGACCAAAGGTCTAGATAGCTTAACTGGCAACACATCCACATGGTAAGCGGGAGTTGCAGATTCAAGTCCCGCTTCGGGCTTATTCTTTTCTTCCAGTTTAATCCAAATTAATTAATTAAATATTATAATTATTAATTTTAATAGCCAGCAGGCAAAATTTAATGAGAATGTTATTATCAAGAATTATGTTAATAAGTTACTCTATTTCTTATAAATGCAGCATGTCTTTTGTTATAAATTTTAACTAGATTTTTTTGTAGACTTTTGTTAATTTGACAGCAATTTTTAAAAACTGCTTAAAGAATTCATTTTTTATCTATTGAATGAAATTCAATTGTTCTTTAGTACAGGTACAGTACTTATCTTCAGGAATATAAATAGCTTCATAAAAATGAGTAGTGTTTGAATTTTGAACAAATAAATTTTAAAATTTTCCTCATAGTCTTTGAAGTTCTAATTTAATAAAATAAATTATAATTTTCTTTTATTTTATTTTATTATACCATATCACTTCATATTTCATTTAAGAATAGTTAAACAGATTTTTCTATTATAAAAATAAAACAAAGTTAAAATACTTTGAAAGCAAACTTTTGAATTTAGTAGCAATAATTATGTAAATATTTTAGTGCACATTTATGCACTAAAATGCTTTTTAAAAAAAGTTTAAATTACATACTTCTTGATCATAATCTGAATAAAATCAATTGTCTGCCATATGCATATTATATTAAAACAAATTTTATATTAATGTTTTTATTTTAACAATAGAATTTTATCCATAAATTAATTAGAAAATAATATGAAAAATACTCAATAAAATAAAAATATAAAAATAAAGAATGATTATAAGTAATTTTTGTCATCAAAAAGTAACATAAAATTCTAAATTTTATGTTAAATTGTTAAATTTTAACTTGTTCAGTACAGAAAGTTAATATTAAAATTTAATTTGAAATGATGATATGAAAAATAGCATTAAATGAAAAATTGTTTCTCCTTTTACACAATAAGCATATTATTCTAAGCTTGTTCAAATTATTCTTTTCTGATGCAATTTGACTTATAGTAAACTTTGTATATAGTTAGAATTATTTCAATCAGAAAGTATTCAGGTTTATTCAATTTAATATGTATTAATGTATTATAGATAAAAGCAAAATCTATTTCTATTTAACTATGATTCTGATTATTGATTTATATCAAAATAAACTGTGTTGTTGAATATCTTCCACATATTTTTAGATAAAAGTTAATGTGCAATAAGTAGATGATTTTTAATTAAAAATATGTGAAAAATCTGTATGTTACAACATGTGCAAATGTTTATTAAGAATATATAGAGAACTTAAATTTGAAATAGATAATAAATAATAGTTCTTACTCTGGCTAAGCCTCTATAAAATGGAACAAATAGCATAAATAAACAAGATAACATAAATAAACAAGCTAGTTCAAGAAGCAAAAATAAAAAAATAATAAATAAAATAATTGACCAAAAATGTTTCATTTATTAAAAGTTTTTGTATCTAAGCTAAGCAGTTATCTTCTTTATTTATGTATCAATATTGCGCCAAGTTTTGTCATCTTTGTGAAAATCAAATAGCTTTTACATCAATTAATGCAAGATAATTTTTTTGTAATCTTAATTATCAAAACTTTATTAATAATAAATATATTTTTCTTAATTTTATTGAATAATTATCAATAACAATTAATTTAAAATATATTAGTTGAAAAATGGCTTTAAAAAGAAAATTGTTATTATCAATAAATAATCAAATCTTCATTTACAAGAACTTATTCATAAGTTACTGAAATTTAAACAGTAAACTTATTATTATTAACTATCATAAATTATTGTTTCTATTACTTATTATACCTGTGAATGGCAAGGTAGATGAAGAGCACGAGTAATAATTGGAGGAGATGTTCCTACAGGCATGTTAAGGTTTCGTGTCATGTCTGTATTTAATCTGGCTTGAACTTCAGGTCGGACAACAGGTGCTGAAAGACGACGCTGATGTAATCTTTCTAACAGAAGGAAATATATAGCTGCATGATGATCATATTTTTCATTGAGAAGTGACTGTAAAAAAAAAATCAAACTAAATCATCAATACTTGTATGTAAAGTTGGTAATATTTACAAATGAAATTTTACATATATATAGTATTTATTTACTATATTTATTAAGTAATAACATTTATATAAATTTAGAAATTTTAATTTTAAATTTTACCTCTTTGGTAGTTGTAGTATCAATTTTCAATTGTTGCATTAATCTAATAACATGATCATTAAATTGTCCAACTTTAACACCCTCTCTATCACAGCAACATAAAACAGGAGGAGATGATAATAATTTGATATTCTCACTGTCAGATGTCATCCAAATGTGATGTTTCACTTGATCTATTGTATATCTTTTCACAGGATCAACTGTTAGCATCTTACGTATCAAATGTTCGCATTCTGCACAGATATAAAATAGTCACTGTAGAAGTTTCAATATATTGCTTATATGTAACAAATATAAATATACATATATAAATTTAAATAATGTAAAATAGTTTAAATTATGTTTGGTAATACAGTACAAAGAATGGATATATTGAATGAAGTAAAACATCTCTTTAGTTGAGTAGCATATTCAATTAATCAGTTGTTTTTAATTTACATTTTGTTATTTATGCATTGAAATAATTAAAAAATTTTAATGTATAAATTATTTGAATATACAGTACATATAAAAAAGTTACAACTATCACCATAATAAGATTTATTTCAGAAAGGAATTAGATACAATTAACCATATATAATTTATGATACCAATAAAACCACTAAATATGCAACTCTTCATGAGATGGATTTATGAAAGTAATATGTCTTACACTCATAAAATCAGAGAAAAAGATCAAATCAGAAAATTTCAAAATTTTATTCTAAAAACTTTAACTAAAAATAACTAAGTGGCATACTACTTTGAGCTATAACATTTTGTTTAATACTTATCTATATCATAAATAAAAGGTTATAAAATAACATTAAATAAATTTTATATATTTATATATAAATAAAATCAAAAGTAATAAACTTATTTGTTCTATAGAATAGAGTACAATAACTAATTCTGCATCCATTATATAACTAATAGTGGTCTGTTTTATAAATAATATGAGTATTTATTTTCATCATCATCAGTTCTTTAACCTTGTCATATTATTTGCTTTGCCACAGTTACTAATGAGCAATATAATAACTAATAGCTGAAGATGTATTAATGAATTATTAATATTTCATCTGTAATATGACATGCCAAATGTACTGCAAGTGAAAGCAACTCATAATTTATTGGCTTCAAGTTTCTTCAAATTTAATAACTTGTTTTCTCAATTTTAATGTGCCACAAAATCTTATGCATACCTGATTTTTGAGATGAAAAACCCAAAAACTTAACTTGCAAAAAATGGATCCTTACATCAAAAATGCAGCCAAAAAAAGTTAATATATTTAAATAATAATAAATGTATTTTTTGAACAGTATTTTATTTTCATGCTTATGATACTTAACATTGTCCACATTTTCATATGTACTTATTTATGATTCCATTTATCAGGTATAAAGTGTGTCTATGAATCAATACAAAATCACAGTCAAAATGATCATATAATCAACATTTAACAGTAAGATTTCATGTCAGTATATACAAGCATGAAATTTACCAGACATATAGTATCACACTGAAATATTTGTATAAATGTTCTTCAGCATCATGAATAACTCTCTGCTTAAACACAGCTTTAGAGGAGATTTGTCTGTTGGAAAATTGTTCATTCAGCTTGCTGTAGTTCAGAAGCCCATCAAACCATTCCAAAAACCAAAATCAAACTAAAACTGTAGTAGTGGAAGGGGCATATACCATGTTTGTACCAACATCATAATACATGCCAAGCAGAATAAAGTGCATACAATGAGAACAAAGCTGTATTAAATAGACTTTCTACCTGATTTTAAGATGCACATTAATTCTGATGTATGCCTCAAATTCTGAGACCAGAAGAGTCCAAAAAGGTGTGCATTAGAATTCAGAAAATGTTCTTTGTTTTTTATTTTTAATAATTATTTATATCCAATACAAAGAAGCAGCTAAATCGTTTAAAATAATACACAGTATTTTTATTTTAAAGTGTAAGTACAAATTTTAATTATCAAATGTTTTCAGAGTATTCATCCATTAAAAATGTTTAGCATTTTAGAATAAATTTACACTCTTCAAAAATCACATATACAGTATATTTGATTTTGTAGTATTAAAAAGTATATAGAAAAATATTTCCATTATTGAAATATAAATATAATAATAATAATAAATACGAGTGATTTTAAAAGATAATAAATTTGTCAGCTAGTAAACTAAATCAAACAATAATAACAATTACAAATACATTTATGCTTCTCTCATTATTTTATATAAATTAAAAAGAAATGACAGATTATCTCTTCCAGGTAAATTCAATTGCTCATAAGTTTTTTTATTTTACTGTGTCATACATAAATAAATAAAGTAAGACTTGTTGTATAAAAGCAATATTATTAAGAATCAATCCATTAATATAATTGCAGAAAATGATTTGGCTATAATAAATTATATGATATTAAGAAATGTGAATCTTTTATATAGTTTATTACATTTGAATTAATTAAATTTTTAATTTATCTTTAAATTAATATATTACATATGTTATCAACTATTCTTTCTATAACTAAATGCTTTCTTGTTATGATCTTTAAATGTACAGTCTAATTAGATTATATTTATTGAACTTACCAGATGACATAAAATATGGAACCCTGAATCTTCCAGATAAAACTTTTTCTCTAAGTGCTGGCAAATTGCTACCGTCAAAAGGTAGAGCACCACATACCAAAACATATAATACTACACCCAGACTCTGTAATAATCAAGAAAAATTTAAATTATGAGCTCAAAATTCCAAAATAAAAAAAATATATAAATTTAATTTAATTAAAAATAACTTACCCATACATCAATTTCTGGTCCCACATATTTTTTCCCCTCAAAAACCTCTGGAGCAGCATAGGGAGGGCTTCCACACCAAGTAGCCAGTTGTTGAGTTACAGAGTAAAAATTACTAAAACCAAAATCTAAAATAAAAAAAAAAAATTTTAATTCTCTTAATAAATTTAATATTTGAAATATTTATTCTATAATAAAATATCATTCATTATCATTTATATATAAAGGCAGATCTAAAAGTTTATTATTAAATTAAATTAATCAGATGAAGATTTTATGCTCACCTGCTATTTTTACATTCATATTAGAATCCAATAATAAATTTTCTGCCTACACAAAATAAAAATAACAATTTCAGTTTCATTAGCAAACAAACTACTGAGCATATAAAAAAAAGTTATTAAAAAGGAATTTAAATAATTATAATATGTCTATATGTAATTCATTTTGCATTAAATTGCAAATAAAAACGTATACTGTATTTAGATATAGGGTCAAGTTTCTTTTTGGTTTGCTACATTTCCTTTTCTGGTCACGTGTATAGATGGGCAAATCATGGCACATAGAGTAAACATCTTAGAGTTGCTGTTACATAAACAAAACCGTGAACTATTTGCTGATTCAGCTTTTCGTCTACGAAGATAAGTATTTCCTCCCATCTCATAAAGTTACCAAAACAGAATATTTTCCACAAAATTTTTATACAGATGTTGCGTCATCGGGGATAAATTACTCTCCAGTTATTTTCTAACATGAAAAAAAAAATCTTTATAAAAATCTTCTCACGTAGTGAATATCTTAAGCTATTTTTCGTTTGGCATAAGATCGTTGGCCGAATATTCTCGGTAAACCGACATAAAAACTAAATTCGTGAATGGCGTTTCTCTCAGTCATTTGTACGACGTCATTATGACGTCAATGGGAGTCTGCAAAGATTTTCAGATGAGCCAAAGGGGAGTAAGCAGTAAAAATTTTGGCAAAACTTTTAGCCCTTGACGTTTCGCGCGTAAATTGCATTTTTTTAACTTTTTTTTAAACTATAAATATATGAATATTAAAACGACGAAAAGTAAAATAAATAAATAAATAATCATAATCATTTCTGAATACAGATAATAATTATCATAAAACGAGATCAATTTCAATGCCAGATGCTTTCTAGATAAATTCGAGTTAATCTCGATTTTATAATTTAAAGTACCTTTAAATCTCTATGAACAATTCTGCGGTTGTGACAATATTGCACAGCTGATAAAATCTGCCAAAACCTTTGTCGTGCCTTTGTTTCCGTCATACGTCCATGAGTGGCAATATAATCTGTAAATATAATGATAAAAAAATTTTATATGCTAGAAAAACATAATTTAAGTAAAAAAATATATATATATAATCTTTATTGTTCACAATTTATAAATGCTCTTAAGTATTTTTTCGTGTAATACAAAATCAATCCGAGAACCATTAGATTCTTCGAACCGTGANAAAGTTATTAAAAATGAATTTAAATAATTATAATATGTCTATATGTAATTCATTTTGCATTAAATTGCAAATAAAAACGTATACTGTATTTAGATATAGGGTCAAGTTTCTTTTTGGTTTGCTACATTTCCTTTTCTGGTCACGTGTATAGATGGGCAAATCATGGCACATAGAGTAAACATCTTAGAGTTGCTGTTACATAAACAAAACCGTGAACTATTTGCTGATTCAGCTTTTCGTCTACGAAGATAAGTATTTCCTCCCATCTCATAAAGTTACCAAAACAGAATATTTTCCACAAAATTTTTATACAGATGTTGCGTCATCGGGGATAAATTACTCTCCAGTTATTTTCTAACATGAAAAAAAAAAATCTTTATAAAAATCTTCTCACGTAGTGAATATCTTAAGCTATTTTTCGTTTGGCATAAGATCGTTGGCCGAATATTCTCGGTAAACCGACATAAAAACTAAATTCGTGAATGGCGTTTCTCTCAGTCATTTGTACGACGTCATTATGACGTCAATGGGAGTCTGCAAAGATTTTCAGATGAGCCAAAGGGGAGTAAGCAGTAAAAATTTTGGCAAAACTTTTAGCCCTTGACGTTTCGCGCGTAAATTGCATTTTTTAACTTTTTTTTTTTAACTATAAATATATGAATATTAAAACGACGAAAGTATAATAAATAAATAAATAATCATAATCATTTCTGAATACAGATAATAATTATCATAAAACGAGATCAATTTCAATGCCAGATGCTTTCTAGATAAATTCGAGTTAATCTCGATTTTATAATTTAAAGTACCTTTAAATCTCTATGAACAATTCTGCGGTTGTGACAATATTGCACAGCTGATAAAATCTGCCAAAACCTTTGTCGTGCCTTTGTTTCCGTCATACGTCCATGAGTGGCAATATAATCTGTAAATATAATGATAAAAAAATTTTATATGCTAGAAAAACATAATTTAAGTAAAAAAATATATATATATAATCTTTATTGTTCACAATTTATAAATGCTCTTAAGTATTTTTTCGTGTAATACAAAATCAATCCGAGAACCATTAGATTCTTCGAACCGTGAAACGATTGCTAAGTAATCGAGCAGGTACTCACAATAATGACGTCTCGGTTGTCTAGGCAACGGATTCTCCAATCATAATTCGCTTTCGAATTTTTCGACCCCTTTACTACGTAATATACGTGAAGTTCATTATGCCGGTACGTATAAAACCAAGCGATAACTTCTTTTTTTAAGTAGGAAAAGTTAAATATGAAGAAACAAAAAAGCGCATTTCTAATTAATAGTGTAAGTGATATTGCGTTACGTTAACACTTGTGAGACGTCAGGAATAAAAAATGTTAGCGTTAATTTAATCGGGAATTAAGCTTTAAATATATTAATTACTTTCAAAAAAATTAATTGTTTATACACCGTCTCAAATCACGTGTAAATGAAGCGTTAATAGTTAAAAATGTAAAATTTATAAATTGAAAAATTAATAGGTCTAAATTGCATATTTATAGATAAATATAATTTAATTTAATTGATTTAATTATTTGATTGGTTTCATACTTAATATCAGAGAAGAAAATCATTTATGTTTCAGCTTATATAATGAATACTTTGAGTTATTACAAATGTTGCAAACTCGATTAAATTATCACATTTTTAATAGGAAATTTTTTCATAGAGATTGCGATTAAAAAATTATCAAAAATTTTGAAATAAAATTAGCAATAGAATACTGTATATTCGACATGAATTGTTTTGAAATATGGATAGAGTCATTTGATCTGCTGCACAGGTGTATTTCATGCAAATAAAATTTCCTGTTTACATAAATACTGTACGAGAGGAATATAATTGCTTTAAAATCTGTTACATTATTAAATATATATATATTTTTAAATTTAAGTGATGTGTATTAATTGTCAACGATGTGTCCAAGCTAATAAGAATAAAGATATTAAATTGTCAACTCACCGAAAATTTCTCCTCCACTAGCATATTCCGATACTAGATAAATCATATTCTTGGTTTCCATTACCTATAGACAAAGGTTAAAGTTAGGTGCGCCAGATGCAATTTTAACAAATATCTACATGGTGATCTTTGAATAAATATGGTGATATTTAATAGAAAATGAACGATTAAATGGGAATTTATTGTATCTAACTTTTAAACAAATTATATACATTTAATTGTAGAAATATATATTTAAAAATGCATTTAAGTGATATTTTGCAGTTTTAAATAATTTAATTTATATTTAATATATATGAGAATTTAACATACATTTTCTTTTGATGATATTACTGTATGAACCTCTACAATGATTAAATTATGATTATGCATGATATAGATGCAATAATTTCTTATTAAATTCGTAGTTCACTTTTGATTAACGAGCAACCCAGTTAAAACAATGTAAAAAAAATTCTTCTTGTATCTAAAAAAAATATTTCTGTTGTTATGGTAACGTCTCTTATGAATAGTCAAACGAGTTCAATGTTCTCAATAAGAACTAGTGCACCCTATACTTTGGTACAGCAATTTTGTCGTAGGATGCTATTTGGGGTGATTTAAGACATGACAGGTAGACCTACAATGCATATTAGATATGCCAAAAGAAAGGAAAAACATTCAAAAGAAAGTCTAAATTCCATAAAGTTTTATTTCTAAAAAGAATCTTAAGAAAACATTTGTTCATATTTTTACAGATGTTTCGAATATTTATCGATTTATCCTTTAAATAGGCCTGTTTTCTTTTAATGTTTTTAACTAAATAAATAATTTAATAATACAAGACTTCAAAAAAGGATTTTTTAAGTTTCTAATATTAAATTTAGTTATGGCTTATTATATTTAATATTAAATAAGAAAAAAAATGTATACTTAAAAATGAAATGAAATTTTTGTTAATAATTTCTCTATAAAAAAAATTATAATAATAAAAAATTTTCCTTGTGTTCCTTCAAGGAAAACTAAATGTTTTATAAAAGTTTGTATATTTAAATAATTAAATTCATGCATAATTTTTAAGCACTTATCGACAATTCTTTAAAAAATTCAGTTAATAATTTAATATCGTAAAAAAGTAACAGATTTAGTTCTCTCACTCATCAATAATACGTTTAAATACATTTAAAAATTTTTGAATAATTTAAAAATAAAAACTTTCTACTCGATCACGATAAAATATCATCTCTGTCACAATGTCAACAATTCCTCTGACGTCAAACATCTACCAGGTCTCCTCGAATAACAGGACAATATTAATTGAAAACGATTGGAGATTTTTCTAACGAATCCAGAAAAGAATCACGTTTTGCCCATTTAGTGACGTCATTGAAATGATGGTGTAAAAGAGAAACGAATAAATGGGTGAGCCTGCCTACGATACGTTTCTGCCACAAACCTAGATCGATGACAATAGAAACCTTCAATCAATGGATCGTCGTACCGAATGACCGGTCTCCCTATGACGTCATTGTCCGTTGTCACGGCAACATATCAGCCCACGTTAGTTTCCGGTAGTTATAGAATAGTCTTTTTAAAAACACAACCGAATAAATAGAACAACCGATTAAAGTTCCTACCTTACAAGAAATATAAATCGCATTCATTATTATCTTACTCAAATATTGTGTTCATTTATAAGCAATTTTATGATTTATTTTTATGTCAGATTTGCCTTGACCTTATCAATAAACCGGTCAGTCTAACATTACTGGATATCAGATGACAACCAGATAAATTCCGATAATGAAACACAATACCATTTTTTTAGTATATAAATATATATATGTGTGTGTGTGTCTTTTTCTATATTATCGATACGCTTCTAACTTTAATTTAAAAAATAAAATAAAATACTTACCTGATATAATTTAATGATGTGAGGATGACTGAGTAGCTTCATTATTTGTATTTCTCTGTACACTTTGACTAAATTTGCCCGGTCTAATTGTGTTTTGTCGATAATTTTGATTGCAACCTGCAAAAGAACATGTGCAAACACTCAGTTTTTGTATACAGAGACTTTAAGTTTGATAAATTATTTTTTAAAATGCTCGTATAGCTTAACATTTTTTCAATATCGAAAACATATTAGTCTACAGGTGCTTTAATAATTTGGCGAAATTCATCTCGCGTGTTGGCACACTAATGTGTTTCACGTGACCCAAATTAATGATACATTGTTCTTCGTGACGTCAATGTCTGAAACGTGCAACTGGCATAGATTAATTAATGGAAAGTCTACAAATGAAAGGATATGTCAAATCATTAAACCAAATGTCCTTAAACAGAAGCATCATCAGGTATTTAGATAAAAACATTCAATTGCAATAGTGAAAAAATAATAATTCACCTTCGATTCGAATAGATGCAGACGTGACGTAATATTCGAATAAAATTAAATAAAAGCATTTGCTATAAATAACTATTTAAAAAAATTATAGGAAATAATTGGAATTTTAAGATTTGTTAACCGAAGGAAAATTTAATTTTGTAAGCTACAAAATGCAATTTGAAATTAAAAGGAATGTTTTAAATTAATTTACATTTAAACTGTTTCCTCTTTCACTTAATGATAAAATTAAATTCTTTTTTCTCGGAAACTAATAAAAGTACCATCGATATATCTACTAAATTTTCCCTATTAATTGTGACGTAAGTAGTTTTATACATTTACTTTCTACGTATATTTCTCTATGTAAAGTTCTAACAAGAATTAAATTTAATTCTAGTAAACGTAGGTACTTTGAAACGTTTCAAAAATTACTACTTAAAGAAGTAAAATATGTGTTAAACAAACAGGGAAAAGTACTTTAATTTCCGCGTGAGCAGAGCCTGTTACAACAATACATTATTCGAAATTTTAGAAACGTAACGAAAGTTTACTGACGATTTAAGAAATAAACACAAGAAATAACAATCGCTCCGGTTTGAAATTAACCAACGCAACAATTGTTACGTTACTCTAAATCCTGCGTAAGTAACGATTGTAACTGGTTCAAGACTGGCAATGATCCAAGTCTTCTTTTTCTTTTCCCTTTTCTCCTTAATTGGATTGCTGTCAAACCGCTGACGTCACACTTACGTCATCTAATGTCGTAGTGTTGGAGTTGTTCGGCACTTTGTGAATAAAGTTGAATTTTTTTTCCTCTTTCACGTTTGTCGTGTGGACACTTTCGATTTTCTTTTTTTGTCTTCTTCTATATCGAATATTTTATTTAAATATAATTAAATAATTGTGTGGTATATTTACGTAAAAAAATGCCACTTTCGGGTGTGAATGTTTTCACCGCATTTCTCACTATTCTTCATTTTTTTTCTTAATCTTTCCATATATCTGTTTAAGTTTCTTCCTTATCTTAAATTATCGCATGCATATTGACGTTTAACAGCAATTTCTATCGATTTTAACGACGTTCTTTCGTAATGATTTCAACTTAAAGCGAAGTCTTACACGTTGTATAGAAAAGTAGGACGTCAGCAGAGAAACCTCATCAATGAAATTTTATCTTAAACTTTAAAATAAAATAAAATTCATGATTCGAATGAAATAACTACGTATCCCTAATTATCATGCAAAAACGGTGTCGTTATGCATATGATCACGTGCGTGACGATTCGTGATATCATATCCGTGACGAGTTTTTAGTGTACGAGTTATCGCGTGATTGCGGCAAATGAGTGACNAATAAACTTATTTGTTCTATAGAATAGAGTACAATAACTAATTCTGCATCCATTATATAACTAATAGTGGTCTGTTTTATAAATAATATGAGTATTTATTTTCATCATCATCAGTTCTTTAACCTTGTCATATTATTTGCTTTGCCACAGTTACTAATGAGCAATATAATAACTAATAGCTGAAGATGTATTAATGAATTATTAATATTTCATCTGTAATATGACATGCCAAATGTACTGCAAGTGAAAGCAACTCATAATTTATTGGCTTCAAGTTTCTTCAAATTTAATAACTTGTTTTCTCAATTTTAATGTGCCACAAAATCTTATGCATACCTGATTTTTGAGATGAAAAACCCAAAAACTTAACTTGCAAAAAATGGATCCTTACATCAAAAATGCAGCCAAAAAAAGTTAATATATTTAAATAATAATAAATGTATTTTTTGAACAGTATTTTATTTTCATGCTTATGATACTTAACATTGTCCACATTTTCATATGTACTTATTTATGATTCCATTTATCAGGTATAAAGTGTGTCTATGAATCAATACAAAATCACAGTCAAAATGATCATATAATCAACATTTAACAGTAAGATTTCATGTCAGTATATACAAGCATGAAATTTACCAGACATATAGTATCACACTGAAATATTTGTATAAATGTTCTTCAGCATCATGAATAACTCTCTGCTTAAACACAGCTTTAGAGGAGATTTGTCTGTTGGAAAATTGTTCATTCAGCTTGCTGTAGTTCAGAAGCCCATCAAACCATTCCAAAAACCAAAATCAAACTAAAACTGTAGTAGTGGAAGGGGCATATACCATGTTTGTACCAACATCATAATACATGCCAAGCAGAATAAAGTGCATACAATGAGAACAAAGCTGTATTAAATAGACTTTCTACCTGATTTTAAGATGCACATTAATTCTGATGTATGCCTCAAATTCTGAGACCAGAAGAGTCCAAAAAGGTGTGCATTAGAATTCAGAAAATGTTCTTTGTTTTTTATTTTTAATAATTATTTATATCCAATACAAAGAAGCAGCTAAATCGTTTAAAATAATACACAGTATTTTTATTTTAAAGTGTAAGTACAAATTTTAATTATCAAATGTTTTCAGAGTATTCATCCATTAAAAATGTTTAGCATTTTAGAATAAATTTACACTCTTCAAAAATCACATATACAGTATATTTGATTTTGTAGTATTAAAAAGTATATAGAAAAATATTTCCATTATTGAAATATAAATATAATAATAATAATAAATACGAGTGATTTTAAAAGATAATAAATTTGTCAGCTAGTAAACTAAATCAAACAATAATAACAATTACAAATACATTTATGCTTCTCTCATTATTTTATATAAATTAAAAAGAAATGACAGATTATCTCTTCCAGGTAAATTCAATTGCTCATAAGTTTTTTTATTTTACTGTGTCATACATAAATAAATAAAGTAAGACTTGTTGTATAAAAGCAATATTATTAAGAATCAATCCATTAATATAATTGCAGAAAATGATTTGGCTATAATAAATTATATGATATTAAGAAATGTGAATCTTTTATATAGTTTATTACATTTGAATTAATTAAATTTTTAATTTATCTTTAAATTAATATATTACATATGTTATCAACTATTCTTTCTATAACTAAATGCTTTCTTGTTATGATCTTTAAATGTACAGTCTAATTAGATTATATTTATTGAACTTACCAGATGACATAAAATATGGAACCCTGAATCTTCCAGATAAAACTTTTTCTCTAAGTGCTGGCAAATTGCTACCGTCAAAAGGTAGAGCACCACATACCAAAACATATAATACTACACCCAGACTCTGTAATAATCAAGAAAAATTTAAATTATGAGCTCAAAATTCCAAAATAAAAAAAATATATAAATTTAATTTAATTAAAAATAACTTACCCATACATCAATTTCTGGTCCCACATATTTTTTCCCCTCAAAAACCTCTGGAGCAGCATAGGGAGGGCTTCCACACCAAGTAGCCAGTTGTTGAGTTACAGAGTAAAAATTACTAAAACCAAAATCTAAAATAAAAAAAAAAAATTTTAATTCTCTTAATAAATTTAATATTTGAAATATTTATTCTATAATAAAATATCATTCATTATCATTTATATATAAAGGCAGATCTAAAAGTTTATTATTAAATTAAATTAATCAGATGAAGATTTTATGCTCACCTGCTATTTTTACATTCATATTAGAATCCAATAATAAATTTTCTGCCTACACAAAATAAAAATAACAATTTCAGTTTCATTAGCAAACAAACTACTGAGCATATAAAAAAAAGTTATTAAAAAGGAATTTAAATAATTATAATATGTCTATATGTAATTCATTTTGCATTAAATTGCAAATAAAAACGTATACTGTATTTAGATATAGGGTCAAGTTTCTTTTTGGTTTGCTACATTTCCTTTTCTGGTCACGTGTATAGATGGGCAAATCATGGCACATAGAGTAAACATCTTAGAGTTGCTGTTACATAAACAAAACCGTGAACTATTTGCTGATTCAGCTTTTCGTCTACGAAGATAAGTATTTCCTCCCATCTCATAAAGTTACCAAAACAGAATATTTTCCACAAAATTTTTATACAGATGTTGCGTCATCGGGGATAAATTACTCTCCAGTTATTTTCTAACATGAAAAAAAAAATCTTTATAAAAATCTTCTCACGTAGTGAATATCTTAAGCTATTTTTCGTTTGGCATAAGATCGTTGGCCGAATATTCTCGGTAAACCGACATAAAAACTAAATTCGTGAATGGCGTTTCTCTCAGTCATTTGTACGACGTCATTATGACGTCAATGGGAGTCTGCAAAGATTTTCAGATGAGCCAAAGGGGAGTAAGCAGTAAAAATTTTGGCAAAACTTTTAGCCCTTGACGTTTCGCGCGTAAATTGCATTTTTTAACTTTTTTTTTTTAACTATAAATATATGAATATTAAAACGACGAAAGTATAATAAATAAATAAATAATCATAATCATTTCTGAATACAGATAATAATTATCATAAAACGAGATCAATTTCAATGCCAGATGCTTTCTAGATAAATTCGAGTTAATCTCGATTTTATAATTTAAAGTACCTTTAAATCTCTATGAACAATTCTGCGGTTGTGACAATATTGCACAGCTGATAAAATCTGCCAAAACCTTTGTCGTGCCTTTGTTTCCGTCATACGTCCATGAGTGGCAATATAATCTGTAAATATAATGATAAAAAAATTTTATATGCTAGAAAAACATAATTTAAGTAAAAAAATATATATATATAATCTTTATTGTTCACAATTTATAAATGCTCTTAAGTATTTTTTCGTGTAATACAAAATCAATCCGAGAACCATTAGATTCTTCGAACCGTGAAACGATTGCTAAGTAATCGAGCAGGTACTCACAATAATGACGTCTCGGTTGTCTAGGCAACGGATTCTCCAATCATAATTCGCTTTCGAATTTTTCGACCCCTTTACTACGTAATATACGTGAAGTTCATTATGCCGGTACGTATAAAACCAAGCGATAACTTCTTTTTTTAAGTAGGAAAAGTTAAATATGAAGAAACAAAAAAGCGCATTTCTAATTAATAGTGTAAGTGATATTGCGTTACGTTAACACTTGTGAGACGTCAGGAATAAAAAATGTTAGCGTTAATTTAATCGGGAA